GGTCATGCTCCTCACAAGGCCGTTTCCACTAAAAAATCTAGCGTCCAGGACCTGGCCGGCGTCAGCATCGCGCAGAGCATGCGTTTTTGTGGCTAGAGTCTGCTTCAAAAAGTGCTTCCAGAAGGCAGCATGCGTTTTGGTCGCCAGAGTCTGCTTCAAAAGTGCTTACTGACAGCAGCATGCGTTTTGGTGGCCAGAGTCTGCTTGAAAAAGTGCTTATGGATGCGTTTTGGTGGCCAGAGTCTGCTTCAAAAAGTGCTTACGGAAGGCACCCCCGGGCCGAAAGTTTCGACCCACGGCACATGTTGGATGGCATGCAGACAGTGAAGGCTCCCGCGGAGTAGCGGAGTGCCGAAAAGTAGCGTTTTCCCTACGCCTGCTAGCGGAGAAATTAATACCCCGTTTTGAAAATATAGTACTATAGTAGCTCCGGAGGAGGCCCCCAGCCCCATTGTGTCAGGAGTCTATGGGGAAGAGGGCGGGGTATGGGTGTAAGAACCCCAAGATGTTGGTGGGTCGAACTATCGGCCCGGCGCAGTATTCCTTAATTAAGGGGTATTGGGCTCTTTGGGTTGCACCTGTAGCCGCAGGTACGAGCAGCTGGTTTTCACCATCATGACTGAGTTGGATGCCCAGGCACTGCAAAGGGCGTGGGGTGCAGGGTTTGTGGTTTCAGGTCGTGTTGCTTTTGTCGGATCCTTTGAGATTTCCTTGGACTCTTTGCGCTCATGCAGTCCCCAAGGAATTGCATGGCTAGACCCTGAATCCCTCAACTCCCACCACCTAATATAGGGGAGAATATAGGGGGTCTGTGTAAGTAGGAGAAACGTGTGTAGCTCATGTGACAAGTAAAACGGCCTATAGGCGATGTGCATTTGCCTTTAGTCAGGCTCCTGTAAACCACCTAACCCTAAACCCTAAACCCTGCAGTCTAAAGCCTTAAATCTTAGAGCCTTTTTGCTGCAGGGTCTTTGGATTCACCGCAAGCACGAGGCTGGTCGCTTCCCGGCCTCAGTTGCTTGCCCATTTTTGGGCTTGAAGGGTTTCTATACTGCCTACTATTGGGTACAGGGTTCACAGGACCTAGGGTCAACAGAGCACAGGGCTCGCAGGCTTAGCGTGCAGGGTGCGCAGAGTATAAAGGTGTCAGCGTAGCAAGATGCAATACGGTGTTCATAGGGCTTTCAGTTTAAGGCTTATCGGGTTCAGGGGTCAAGAGGGCACACAAGGTTTGGAGTCACAGGGTTTAGGCTTTGGGCTCATAGAGATTTGTGGTATTAGCTAGGGCCTAAGCTAGGGTTTGGGTCTAAGAGGCAAACAGGTGAAAAGAGCGCAGCTTGTGTCCTTGGAAACTGGCAAAAACCTTACACGTCCAACAAATCAGACAGTGCCGAGAAACAAAGCCAGGAAGCACTGTGCACAAGCTCTTGCAGCGACACAGCTGCCCAAGTCCTGTGATGACATGAGGACTAAGAGCTTGTGGGTACACACAAATACTGGGCGGAACTCCAGATTCTGAACTCTTAAAATCTAGCCGCAGCTTGCTTGCTTTGGCTGTCTTTAGGGTTTTAGGGTTTAGTTCACGCTTCAAAAAGGGGTTTAGGGTTTAGGGTGCAGAAACTGAGCATGAACTTGAATCACCGCCTTGCTGTGAAATTCAGCCCTCCAGGCCCCCAGCCGCGAGCAGCAAAACAGAGCGACTTAGGGGACCACCATGTCTGCGCAACGCCCCTTGAAGCGTTCCAAGCATATTCACACACACACACACACACACACACACATATATATATATATATATATACATAAATATGTATATACATATATATATATATATACATATTTGTTATTTGTACATAAATGATGCGAAGTTTCTGAATTGCATACCTTTTATCTCCTCTCTCTGGCTCTCTCTCTCTCTCTCTCTTTCCTCTATCTCTCGCTCTTTCTTTTGCGCGGTCTCTACTTTGCATCTCTCTCTCTCTCTCTCTCTTCCCTTGTTCGATTGGAATAAGCTTAGGATTAAGGGGAAACCCCTGAAGCCTAAACCCTGCCCATTGCAGGCCCTGAAGAAAGTTTTTGGCGCTGCGCCCGAGGCCTGTGCCGTGCCATGACCTTGATGCCACATAGGGCGGAGCTGCTGTCAAGCAAGGTGTACTTGGAGGTTCATGGGACTTAAGAACCACTTCTAACTGGGCTTATAACCCTACTTATAATACCCCTAAAGGGCCTTATAGGGGGTATCCCAATTATAACTAGGGTTATAAGCCCAGTCATAGGTGGTCATGAAGTCCCATGCACCTCCAAGTATCGAAGAGGAGCTCCAAATTGTGTTTCATTCAGCTCCTGAACAGGCCGTGGAACATGCACGGCAACATGTCTACAGCACGTGGCATGGCGGCAGAAGGGGGGCCGGGCAGAAGAAGGACATCCCGATTGGAGTCAGCAATCCTGAGCTGGTTGTGGTGTTGTTGAACTGCTGAGAGAGGAAATCCCGCTGGCTAGAATCCAAATGCAGTATGCCTTGTCCAGGCTGGCATCCCCAAATTGTTCAGCGGCTACATCCAAAGTGCGGGAAGTTCAGTCCATGAGCACCGGTGGAAGTGATGAACTAACCCTAAAGCCTCAACCCTAAACCTTAAACCCTAAACCTTAAACCCCAAACCCCCAAACCCCCAAACTGCGGCGGCCGAGTTCCAGAATGCCTTTGGGGGTCGTAAATTAGGTCTCGAGCTGCCTGTGCTCGTGTTATCTCGCGTTCTAGCTCAAACCCCCCCCCCCCCCCCCCCCCCCCCCCCCCCCCCCCCCCCCCCCCCCGCCCAACCAGCCCACTGTGTGAGAGGAGTTTCAGTTAGCTAGGACTCAGAGTCGGCCCTTATTAGGTTGCCTTCTGAACCCCTTCAAACAAAAACGGGTGCCCTTGTCATTCCCAGGTTACGCTTGGGTCTGGTCAGGGCATTGGTTGGTTTCGATTAGTTTTGAAGTTGTTCCTTAAACCACGAACTTACCCAGCAGTTAGTGCTGCGCCCTTTTATGGGTTGCATACTACCCCCCCCCCCCCCCCCCCGGCCAGGTTCTCCCCTGGCTATTTAGGAATCACGAAGCCTAATGAAGGTTCTTTAAGGGGGAAAGCCGAGGAGGGGTAGCCCTAAACCCTAAACCCTAAACCCTGCACCCTAAAACCTAAACCCTAACCCTAGCGGGGGTAGAATAGAGGAGGGTAGTAGGGGACCCATGACTCTCAGAAGCAGGCTGAAGGTGCTGACGGCGCATCTCCAGGAAGCTTCCTCGATGCATTTGCAGGGTTTAGGGTTTAGGGATTAGGGTTTAGGGTCTAGGGTCCCTAAACCCTATCGTGTAAAGTGTGCCGCTCCCGAAAGTTCGTTGCTAGTTGCGAAGGCAGGTAGCGGCGCGGATTGGCTCCTGCAGCTAGCTTATTGTGTAGGCTCAGATTTCAAGTGAAGGGTCGGGGCTTAACGGTTAGGTTTAGGGTTGCCTCAGCCCCAAACCGGAAAGAAGCGAAGGCAACCAAACCATTGCCAGTCTTCAGTTCAACGCCTACACGCATGCCAGGGCCCGCTCGAACACTTGGCACTTCGGACCCACAAAGTTCCCTGATTGCCCTGGACCCTAAACCCTAATGAAGTAATCCGAAATTCGGCTGGTCCTCATCAAGCTTGAGAACTAGGATCCCAGGCTGGCAAAGAGTCAAGCCCTCTCAGGCTGGCGACTTCCTCTTGGGGGCGAATTTCAGTGCCGCCGACATCCTTCTAGTGCACTGCCCGAGCCCAAGTGACGGGGGCGGGGGGGGGGCACATTTGGAACCTGAGATTTATGGTAGCTTGGGGCAGGTGGGGGGAGCGCTTCGGATTTTACACCTTAAACGCAGTGGTTGCAATATTAAATTTCCACGAAACTTTGCATCATCCCACTATCATCCCCACATTGTTACCTCTACAAAAGTACAGAAGGCCACCCTAAGCAGATCATATCGAGTTGGGGAAGACAAATAACTTTCGTGGCAAGCTTTTTAACATCAGAAGAAGCCCTCGCGCCCTGGCTCAAGCCTGCAAAGTTCTGGCTTACTGCTTCTTCTGCTTACCGAACTAGCAATGGGGATGCACTGGCGACTGTTCCTTGTTGGCTGGGCTTTCCACCTGGCCCAGGCGAAGCTGGCCGTCGTTCGGGTGTTCTCGACACCGGATGAAGTGAATGCCTTGCTGCTGTCCGCCTCGACTTGGGAGAAGACCAGGCCGTGCGACCCCGCGAAGATCTCAGAGCCCATCGACTTGATCCTAGTTTACAGCAAGGACATCGTCGGAGAGGTACATGGATCCAACCCCCAACAATGCGCACACCGTTGTGGCAAGTTTTGCAGATCTGTTCGCCAACAAGCGCTTGAGCTGGATGTCATGTTTTTCAGAGATGAAGAACATGTCTGTCAAGCTCACGCCGGAGGAGGACCAGTACGATGTCCACGGCTACAGCATGAACAAGCATTGGGTCCAGGGCCCCAACACCGTGTTCACGAACATCATGTCGGCCATGCTCACGGGGGACCTCGGCGGGTATGATTCTAGGATGCCCAGGAGTGCCCTTATTCCCTTTTTGGGGGTTTAGGTTCCCTTATAAACCCCTTTAAGCAAAAAAGGGCACCCTTTTTAAGCCTAGGTTACTGGGCAGCCTAGGATTCCTTCTTCCTCATGGAGATGGATGCGGTGCCTGTCAAGGCGGGCTGGCTGGAGCAGTTCGAGAAAGAGGCTCTGGAGATGCCCGCGAAGAACATGGCCATCCGCGGCAGCAAGTACTTGGGCCACAAGTGGGATTCTTTCAAACACCTGATGCCGGCCCACGTGGTCGAACACATCAACGGCAATGCCATCTACAACCTGCAACATCCTTGGCTCAAGTTTTTGCACGACACCTTCACCGGAGAAGGCAACATTCAGATGACGGAGGAGATGGCCTTCGATGTGGCCTTCGCCCTGATCACTCAGGCGGCCATGGACGGCACAGAGGATGAGCTTGCCGAAGGTTTCTCCCGGAGCAAGGGCACTAATGCGACGTACTGTGGGGACTCGATGCTTATTGGCAACTATGCCAATACACTCTTGAATCACAGCTTCAATGTCCCGACCTACATTCGACACGGTTCGAACAGTAACCTGTTCCACAGCCTTGCAGATGGCCAGGTTACCTTGGGAGTGGCGGCATACGACCAAAGCACAGCTCGCATCATGAATACCACTCGTAGCAACCACCCCTTCAAGAACATCCTGGTGCTTCAGTACTTCCCTGGGAAAGACGCCACAGAGACGGTTGCGTCCCCCAGCGGCGAGGTCATGGTGACCACGCAGCAGGCAGCGCAGGAGCCCCACATGCATCTATGTGAGGTCGCCAAGTTGGCGACGACGCCGTGGTTCGCTCTTACCGACAACTACCATGTCATCAATGCGCCTGTCACCGTGCTCATGGACCACTCCGACCCGCACATGCCTGTCCCCGTGATGCCTTATGCCCAGGGCTGTGAGCGTGCCGATTGCCAGGCCTCTCTAGATCAAGCTTCGGACCTTTTCGGAGTTCGCTTGGAGTACCACCATGATCCGTATGAGCTTCTCTTTAGCACCAGAGATGCTAGAGACTTCTGCTCCTCATGGCTGCAAGCGGCGGCTAGCAAGAGCTGGAAGTCCTGCGAGCTCACTTATGGGCCAACGGCAGATGACTACATCGCCTGGAAGATTAGCACAAACAAGACCAACCTGATTGCCACCCCCAAGAATAAGGCCAAGTATGGTTGGAGGGCATGGACGCAACGGTGGACGCCTGCCCCCATGGACATGCGACAGTGCCGCGTGCAAGTCTATGGACTCATCGAGTACGACCATGCCCTCGGGAACATAACATCGTGCAGCCAGTATGTAGAGAACAAGTTCACATGCAAAGCAGATCCAGATTGCAGGTGGATTCCAAAGTTCCAGTCTGGTGTTTGTGTCAAAAATTGGGCCCATCATTACGCTCGCGTTCACAAGCCTCGGCGCTGGCGCAAATTCAAACATTCGCGCAGTGCGTTCAGACGAAACAAGCGCTGGTACCGCGGCAGCCTGGCACAAGAGCCGCAACATGACGCAGAGAATGTGCACGAAGACCCCGTTCACTTCATGCAGCTCATGAGAAGCAGGCAGGAAATTTGAGTCTCCATCCGGCCGGATCTTCCACAAACGTCCCACATTGTTTCTGGCTCATCGTAAACCCCTAATGTGCTAGGTTTACCACAGTGCACGCGTTCGATGCTTGGCCGTGAAACTACAGAGCAGAAGTGTGCGTTCGAAAGTGTTTGTGTCTTAACCTGAAATGCCCAATGCCCTAAAGGGGCGCTGGGATTTTCTGCGCACAATGCTGCAGCGATTCAAGCATGCTAGATGCAGGCGCCCGTCAAAAGGATGAGAATCCAGTGAATTCAGAATCAGAAGTGCACTCCACATATAACTTTGAATTTGGTTTTAGGCCTTGTGCTGTCAGTATTCTTCACCATGCTTGAGACATCTGTAACCTTGCCTGAGCATGCGCTAGTCGTGAGAGTCGAAGCCCTAACCCTAAACCCCACACCCTCAGGTCTGGACTGGGCTCGGAGCATTAAGTGGCTCCCAGCCCCAGCGATATCTGGCGATGTGGAGGCTGGATGAAGACGACAAAGCTGTTTAGGGTTTAAGGTCTAGGGGTTGCTGCGTTGCTACTAGGAAAACAGGTTTAGGATCCGGTTTCTAAACGGTCTCTGAAAGGGCATATGTGAGTTGAGTTTTTAGAGCAGCTTGAGGGAAAGGAGGGGGTTTTCCTCCCTCGTGGGGGGCGGGGGGGGGCGAAGGTTGTAAGGGCTTCAAGGGCTAAGCCCTAAACCCTAAACCCTAAACCCTAAACCCTAAACCCTAAACCCTAAACCCTAAACCCTAAACTGACAGGCAGTCCTCACTGCATACCACGAGCGCTGCCGCCAGAGACCGGCCTACCAGCGTGCCGCCACTCTCTGCACAGAAGCTTTTTGCAGGTGGACTCTCGGGTTCACTGTTTAGGGTAGTATTGACTTTAGGGTTTGGGGTTTGGGGTTTATGGTTTAGGGTTTAGGGTTTAGGGTTTAGGGTTTAGGGTTTAGGGTTTAGGGGGCATATGCCCGGCAAGTCGGTTCCGTTGAAGCACAGAAACCGTCCTAGGCAGGTTTCTTTTGAAGCCACTGACGTCCTAATCCCAACCCCTAAAAGACCCCAAAACCCTAATTACGCCCCAAAACCCCAACCCTAAACCCACCCTACCCCCCCCTACCCCCCCTACCCCCCCCCTACCCCCTACCCCCCCCCCCACCACCCCCTACACCCCCCCCCCCTACCCCCCCCCCCCCCTACCCCCCCCCTAACCCCCCCCCTACCCCCCCCCCCCACCCCCCCCTACCCCCCCGACCCCCCCCCCCCCCCCCCCCCCCCGCAAAAAGAACAATATCAAACAACAAAACGCCTAACGGGCCCACCCCCTAAAAGCTGCTGCAGGGTCTCCTGCATGGCTCGCGTCAGTAAATCTCGTGGAGTCTTCTTGGTGGAAGTAGCAGAGCCTCCGCACGATCCAAAGGGTTCGTCGGCCTTCAGTTTCCCAAAGAAAATCCGAGGTAGGATCAGAGGAACCCTTAAAACGGAGCCCTGCTCGAGCCTCTTCTGGCTCTCTGAAAAAGGGACCTTATTGAGAGGTCCGGCCTTGTTCCCTGAGCCTGCGAGAACCCTCAACCTGCAATTCCTGGGATGCTCATTTTGGCTGAGGAGCTATAAACCTAAACTCTAAACCCTAAACACTAAACCCTAAACCCTAAACCCTAAACCCTAAACCCTAAACCCTAAACCCTTCCGAGGTCGAGCAGCGAAAGGCCAAGCTCTGAATTCCAGGGGCGCGCGATGCCCTTATCCTTGGAGGTTATGTAGTTTGGGTTTAGTGGGTGTTTGGGTGGGCTTGGTAAGTTTAGTGGGTTTAGGCTTTAGGCTGTTTCTTAGTGGGGTTGGGGGGTGGGGGTTCTGTTGTTTTGCAAATGTCTCTAAGACGACGGTAAGTGCTTCTTGCACCTTCAAGCATTCAGCCCAGAGTTGAGTGATACGTGGCATCGGCATCTTGGATAGATCCGAATGTCCGACCCTGCGATTCAAGTCTTAGCCCGAAACCCTAAACCCACAGGCCCAATCGTGGTGGCCTTGAGGTGCTTTGCTTTGTCGTGCAGAGTTTTTGATTGAACCCGCTGCTTGCTCGACGAAAATGCAGCTCGAGGCACTCAGGGCCTTTGCCTTCATAGATCTCCATGCGCCCAACTCTTAGGGTTTAGGGCTCAAGTAGGGCTCAGGGCTTAGGCTTTACGAAGAGCAGACCCCTTGCTACATGTCAGCAACACTTTAAGAGGCCCCACCCAAACTGCCTTGAACTCGGAGGACAGACTACGGCGAGAACAACATTCACTAGGCCTAGGCGCAACACGGCCGCGACCCCGGCACACCCATGGCAAGGGCTGGCAACTTCCGTGGTATTGGTGAGACGTTCCGTGATTTACCAAGATCTTGCTACTCAGCGTTGTAGATATGGTTGAGGGGGCGAGCAGGAAGTGCCCTGAGAGTTGAGTAGAGCCTTTGATGGAGAAATCTCCCCAAAGAGCCCAAGCCCCCCCTAAATACGCGCTATACCTCAACTCATAGTAAGGGTCTCTATACGGTTATCGGTATATTCCTCAAATAGGGTATTGGGCTCTTTAAAAAAAAGTTCTTGCTCATTCCCGCAGCCTTTTCGCAGAGTGCCGCTGCTGCCTGCATCCGGGCCGGGGGCCGGGGGCCTGATGTTCGCACAGCAGACGCAGGCCGGGTACCTTGAATTCAGGTTTGCGTATGTAAGGAGTACGTATACCATACGGTATACGGGTCTCAGAAATGGCTGACATCACAACCAACATGGACGACAATCCTTGCCTGATTTTGAGTCGTTCCCCAGCAACGCGAAGGTATATATCGGGCTGCACACATGGAAACCCCTAAGCCTTAAACCCTTTACCCTAAACCGTTTGGGGCGAATGCTGAAAAGTTGGGTTGTCGCGATGTCATGTAGCGCCAAGTGTGCCGGGAAGCCTGCACGGTTCAACATGGCAATCATGCTTGTTTATTCTGGCGACTATGCCTACTATATATGGTCCTTTGGGCGTTTTGGTCACGGCTATGATTTGGGTTACGATGAATTATGATGATGATTGTTGTCGCCGTGATTTTCCTTGTTGAGATCTGTCTAGGTTGCGATTTCCTCCTTTGACCCATAGCTGCAGGCTTGATTCGGATGCGCCTTGTTTACGGCTCCAACGGCACGTAAACGCGCGCCGGCAATGCCCCGGCCACATCGGTATTTACAGTGTTTTCTGTGCCCTGCAAACAGAAAAGCGCACGCCTGCCACGTTTTCCACCAGTCCGTGCGAACGAACGGAGCATCCATGCCCGCCCGATGAGAACGTCCGTGTTACCAGTGAGTGCGAATGGCAAGAGCATCCATGCCCGCACGATGAGAACGTCCGCGTTACCAGTGCGTGCGAATGGCCAGAGCATCCATGCCCGCACGATGAGCCGGCGACGCCCCGGCCACATCGGTATTTACAGTGTTTTCTGTGCCCTGCAAACAGAAAAGCGCAGGCCTGCCACGTTTTCCACCAGTCCGTGCGAATGAACAGGGCATCCATGCCCGCACGATGAGAACGTCCGTGTTACCAATGAGTGCGAATGGCCAGGGCATCCATGCCCGCACGATGAGAACGTCCGTCGAGACAAGAACCGGCTGAAGCTCCAAGATGTCTGGACCTCGACCGCCCTGATGTCGCCCAAACCTAGGCCCCAGCGCATTCTAGTCAATTTGTCCTTCGGTTTTTTGTCCGCTGTACTCTCACCATCCCTGCCTCTCAAGGCTCAGAAATACTGCCCCTGCCACGTTATTTGCCCTTCTCGTCCCGTCTACAAAGCGGCGTTTTCGGCGCGCGTTTACGCACCGTTGGAACGTTTACGGCTGTTTCCAGAGAACCCGACTGTACTTTGGTTCTCAATCAACATCCAGAAGAAGTGGTGGACGCTAGTACTTCGAAGGTTTCCAGAGTAGATAGTGCTGGGCTTCATGAACCCTTACAACCTGCCTCAGGAGCTCATTATTGCATTACTTGTTCATTATATTGTTATACTATTATATGATGTTTTTCTTTTTTATGTAACTATAATCTGTGTTATTGTGTCTTTGTTTTTAGCACTGGAAGTTGGCCTCAGATGTTGCCACCTTTAGGGCGAGGGGGTGCCCTTCGTCATGAGCTTGCCCAAGCACATTGCCATCTGCAACCTCGCACGCAGTATCCCGCAGGAAGGATTCAGCCCTAAACCCTAAACCCTAAACCCTAAACCCTAAACCCTAAACCCTAAACCCCCCATATAACACCCGAAACCCACCTAAAACGCCCAGAACCGCCCCACTCCTTTCGCAAGGCCCTGCAAGGCCTATGGGCCGAGACGAACCGGGAGCGACTGCATGGAAGCCCAGACTCTTTGCAGTAAACTCCGGACAGGAACATGGTTTAAGGATGATTAGAGCTGTGATTCCCTTGGTATACCTTTTGGGGACTGAGGATTCGGATGTTCCAACTTTTGGGAATCTACTTTAGGGGTGCAGCTTTCGGGCTGTATATCCGATGGGGTTTAGGGTTTGGGGTTAGGGTTTAGGGTTTAGGGTTTAGGGTTTATGGTTTAGGGTGTGGGGCTTAGGGGCTTAGGGGCCTTCAGGATCAAGCATTCGAGAGCCTGGATTTTGGGGTCGCTGGCTCCATTTTTCCCACAGATTCCGTGCTACCACGGAATCAGAACACATCAGCCGAGATTCATAGTTGTACTTGTTGCTTCTTGGGTGTGCCTCATCACAATGACAGACGTACATCCCCCGAAAATTGAGTTAGACTTAGGGCGGCCTAGGTGCACTTGCACAGATACACTTAACGTTCCAGGCACAACACCTTGTGTGCTCCCCAAAACCCTAAACCCTGAAGGACAGCAAAGATTGATGCCAGGCAGTGGTTCATCGAGGGAGACATGGCTCATATGGCCGCTTGGCGATCAGCTAGTTCGCGGGGCATTGGTGGCTAAGAGGGTTTAGGGTTTAGGGTTTAGGGTGCCCTGAAACCCTAAACCCGGTCGTCCAGTCAAAGCACAAAGCTTCTCGAGGATGCCCCGGTCAGCCAAAAGAAGGACCCAAAGCGCCCAATACCCCGCAATTAAAGGATAGGGTTTAGGATTTAGGGTTTAGGGTTTAGGGTTTAGGGTTTAGGGTTTCGGGGTCTATATGGTTTAAGGCAGTTGAAGATCTTTTCCATAGTTAAGAGGTATCCAGGCCCTCAGCGGTGAGCAGCAACAGAGAGTCACTTAGTCTAGGGGTCGGAATAATTACTAATGATATTCCCTTATGGTCCCTTTGTAGGTAGTTAGGCTATATTCCTTAGTTAAAGGGTATTGCGCTTTTTGGGTAGAGCGGTGCTGCGGAATGTAGGGCTGATGAGAAGCGATGTCAGAGAGCGCCCTTAACACTCCCTTCGCATTTACGGTTTACGGTTTAGGATTTAGGGTTAAACCTAAGCTACTACAAGTCATAAACCGCTACTATCTTATTTCCAATTCATGCTAGACTTTACGAGAATCTACCGAAACTGTACTGCACCATACTGTACTACAGGTGCTACGATACCATGTAGCACAATGTAGGATAGTACCACAAACTATTTTAGGAATAGCATATACCGTATAATTATTGCATGTCTTTTTCTTTGAGCCACGTTCAGAAACTGCAAGGTTGTATATGATGTCCGATGAAAGAAGAAAGGATACCCTGACCCTAAATCCTAAACCCTACACCCTAAATCCTAAACCCTAAACCCTAAACCCTAAACCCTCGCTGCGGCAGGTCTGGAAGGGCGTACGTCGAGCCCGGAAGTTCAAGCTGCTGAGCCTGGAACCCTTAGGATGTAGGGTTTAGGGTTTAGGGTTCAGGGTTTAGGGTTTAGGGTTTAGGGTTTATCCCAGCCCCTGTGCCCCAAGCCCCAAGCGCATTCACCCACATAGCCATCCAACATGATCCCGGAGGGGATGCAGAATGACGTCGATAAGCATGCGCAAAACTGTATGCCCAAAGCTTGAACTCTTGGATTCTTACCTGACGTCTTCAGAAAGGTCAAGGGGTTATGAGCTTTGGGAGGACGCTGTTACGAGTTACGACCTAATATAGGGGCCTGAATAATTAGAATAGGGTTTGGGAGGTGATTATGGTAGAATTGTAAAGCGACCCTAAGAGAAGACTCTTCGTATGTATTCCGACCCCTACATTCGAGGGCTCGGGTTTGCAGTTTGGGAGTTGGGATGGTGGGCCGCCTCGGCCTCAGTAGCCGGCTTCAAAAGCTAGGTAGGCCCTTTTTGGGGCATGTTTCCTCCCCTTATGGGGTTCAAGAGGATCATCTTCAGGAGTATTGTTCAGAGGGTTTTTGAGGGCCGTCCTAGAACAGGTTTTGAGGTTTAGGGTTCAGATTGTTCCAAGTTGAGCTTCAAAGCTACTGACGCTGCTTCTTAGGCTTCAGCGTGTTGCCGCTGCTTCCTGCCCAGAGAGCTCAATACAGACCACAGATTCCTATATGGTTTAAGTTACATACATGTATGTACGTGTTTTTTATATACATATATATATACATATACTCTTCCACAAGTACATCAGTTCCTAAGATCATTAAGGGGCATTGGCCTCTCTGGGACCATCCCAAAGCACAGGCTGACGGAAGGCGCTGAAGGACGGGTCGTCTGGGGCGCTGGAAAGCATCGTGGCCGCCTAAACCCGGTAAGCCGCTTCAAGCCCTAAACCCCCCAAGCCCTACACCCCCGAAGCCCTAAACCCTAAAAACCCTAAATACCCTAAATACCCTAAATACCCTAAAAACACTAAACCCTAATCCCTAACTAAACCCTAAACCCTACACGGATATCGAGGCTCGATTGCGCTCAATGCCCAGAATGCCTTAGTTGACGGGCGACTCGAAAGAGTCCAGGGTTCAGGGCGCTTCGAGTTTAGGGCCGTTTAGGGTTTAGGGTTCACCTTCCGGGGCGGCGTCGTGAAGCCTGTTGCAATAGGGTTTAGGGTTCAAGGGTTTAGGGTTCAGGCTTCAGAGGTAGTCTTCAGGGTTCAGGGTGTAGGGTTTGAAGGGTTCAGGTTTTAAACTTGAGGGTTCCGGGGTTCCGGATTTCAAGGTTCAGGGTGTAGAGTGTAGGCTTCAAAAACAAAAGGGTTCAAGGTGCAGATTCTTGTCTTGGAGCAGAGTTTGGGTTGCAAAAGGGCACCCTGTCACAGCGATCATGCTCCCTGTTCGGCTACCTCCATCCCTAAACCCGATGGATTGGTTTAGGGTTTTAGGGTTTAGGGTTTAGGGTTTCGGGTTTCGGGTTTAGCGTTTAGCGTTTAGGGTTTAGGGTTTAGGGTTTAGGGTTTAGGGTTCAGGGTTAGTTTAGGGTTTAGGGTTTAGGGTTTAGGGTTTAGTTTAGGGTTTGGGGTTTAGGGTTTGGGGTTTAGAGTTTAGGGTTTAGGGTTTAGGCTGAGCTAAGGTTCTCTCTGGACCCTGCATTTGAGACGCGCGGCACCGTTAGTTTAGGGTTCGGGGACTACTTGAAGGTTCATGGTACTTAATAACCACTTATAACTGGGCTTATAACCCTACTCATAATAGGGATAACCCCTATAAGGCCCTTTAGGGGTATTATAAGTAGGGTTATAAGTACAGTTATAAGTGGTTAGTAAGTACCATGAACCTTCAAGTAAGGGGTTCAAGCACTCTCAGAAGTGGCGCAGGGGGGTGGGGGAGAGACTCCGTGGCATTAAGGGCTGAGGGTTGAAGGACGGCGGGCCAAGCTGCCGCTTCTTAAATGCAACTACTGTATCAGTTGCAGAGCTATGAAAGCCTGGACGATGAAACAACTAGCAAGGCAAATGCCTCCATTCCTTTACATAAAAGCGTCCCCTTTACTTATACGGCACTTCCCAAAATAGGGGCATACCCCCTGTACGCCAAACAGCATAGAATCCCCTTAAGGCAGTTCCCAAACGCCGAAAAAGTTTCTGGTCTATTCACTAAATAAAGGGGGGGGGTCTTGGTGCTCGTTGGCCGCACCTTGTTTCCTGACCTTTAATTTGGCGCCACATGGCGACTGTTCCTGCAGTCGCTGGGCCAGCAACAGCAGTGCAAAACGTTGTAATACATATATATATATATGTATAATAGTCTAGGGCTGTATTTTCAAGATGTTAGGGTTGTATTTTCAAGATGTTACAGAACAGCCAAACTCTCCAGCGCGGGCGTCCAGGAAACCCTGACTGTGAACCCGAGCCATCCAGCCAACCCTAAACGGCTGCAAAAAGGGCCGCGCTTACACCATTAGCCGCAAATCCAACATCCTCTACACTCAAAACGCAGAAACAACACCCACATCCCGAAACCTAAATAGCAGCTTACACTTACGAACAAAACCAAGGACGAAGGCTAAGCCCGAATCAAGTGTTAAACAACTACAACACTCCAATCCCGGGATCTTCAACCGTAAAGCAGAAGAAGCAGCCGAGGTCTGGCATGAAGCAGGTGACATGGCTATCCGGCACGGACCGGTAGTCGACATCAGGGTTTGGGGTTTAGGGTTGAGGGTTTTGAGAAGGTTTCGAGAGGGTGAAGGGATCTCCTCTCCTGCATGTCTGTTTAGGAGACGCTGAATGCTCCCATGATGAAGGGGTACTCGGGGGGGCTGGAAAAATCCAAGGTTTCACCCCAATTAAATTATTCCCATCCCCTCATATTCAAGCAGAAGAGAGCGCCGGAGCCTGATATTTACATGGGCTTGTTTTCAAGGTTTGGTGTTCAGGAAGCCCTGAACCGCCCACGCCTCAACGCGGTGTCATTTCCAGGGTTGGTGACCCTAAACCCTCAACCCCGACAAAGCATCTAAATTGCATCCACGTAAGCCCAGAGCTTAACCCAATCCTTCATGCTCCCCACCCCTCTCGTGAGGTTCGCTGGTTTGCAGGCATCTCGGTTGATGGGTTCTTGATCTTTGCTACTGGCTTGATCCTTCTCAGGAAGCCAACCTCAACAGTAGGCCTAGCAAGCCCGGGGAACACAAACATCGCAAAGCCCATTGAACAAACATTGCTCCTCTATATGATGTGATTTCAGGGGTTGCCCCTACAGGGTTGGTGTCTACATGTATCCACCCTACCCTTCTGAAGCTAGCCATGATTCACCCCAAACGCTCGTAATTACCTACTTGTTGTGTCCCTAGGCATGCCACGGATTTTTGGACGCCTCTCTTCGATTCAGCTTATGGAAAATCATGCCGAAAATCATAGCGTGGGGGGTACAAGGATTGCATCATTGCATCCAGCTACCAACCGCGTGCCTGGTCCGAACTGTTTTCACCCCCCTCCCCCCCCCCCCAACAAGGCCTGTGGGCAAGACATGGGGAGCCTCTGGTTGTTTGGCCGGTTTGGGGTTTAGGGTTAAGGGTTTAGGGCCCTCTGTACGTATGTAAGGCTCCGTATTTAGGGAACCTCGCACGTGCATGCCGACCAGCTTCGCAGGACAGCAGCAACGTCGCTTTCACCTGGGCATCTTGTCGTATGGGTCGAACATTATGCCGTGATCCACAGTCGATACTACAATTCATAAACCCTAAACTCTGAACCAACAAGAGGTATGAAGTAGGGTTTGTCTTGCTGTTACTGGTGTGTGTGTGTGTGTATCTATAGCATTCCTCATGTCAAATTACCAGCAAAAAACCTTCATCATGTGAATTTTAAGTTTTGGGTTTTTCATCTCCTTGCCAGCCCCCCAAAGCCTCCAAAGCAACGCAAGCTCTCTAACCCATGGCACCCTAAACCCCAAAGCCTAAACCCTCAACCCCTTAATTCTCCCAAGCTTCCGAGGACTTTGTCAGCTCGGAAGGCCCAACAGAGGCGCGTGTGCAACTAAAAGCGGGATGCAAATGGTGAACACGCTCTTAAACCCTAAACCCTAAACCTAAACCCTAAACCCTAAACTCAAACCCTAAAACCCGAAGTCCCCAAGCAGCTTTCGTCAAAATCGGGCTTGGGGAGGTTTCTCCGGTGTGGGAGTTGAACCTGTCTTGCGCGCTCAGGATGCAGCGCAAAAGGCCAAAGGATTTGGGGTTTAGGGATTGAGGTCGTGGTAGCGGAGGATTCGACCGAGGATTCCTAAACCGTTAACTGCAGGTCTGCAGGTGCCTTGGGATCAGTCAGACAATGTGGGAATTCGGTGGGTCAAGGGGATTTTCCTGGGGTTTTTCTGTTGAGGGTGGGGCGGAGGTTGGGCTTGGAACCCCTTTGCTCAACCAAACAAGCGAAAAATGGTTTGAAACCCTAAACCCTAAGCCCTTTTTTCTCCCTAAGTTGCTGACCGATTGGATGGGCGGGGGCCCCGGGACTTTAAATCAGGTCGCTGGAGGGTGCCATTTTGCAGGGGATCCTGAACTGGGGGTTCATTGAACCCAAAAGAGCCCCATATCCGGTAATTAAGGAAGATACCGTACATCATCATTGCTAAGGGCTCCCTATACTGTTTAAGGTATATTCCTTAATGAAGGGGTATTGGGCTCTCTGGGAAGGTATACCTGCAAGGAGCCCAAATACCCAAGTGTACTTAGGAAGCTGATCTCACGAACTGCGTCTCCGGGCTCCAAGGGAATTGCCCGGTTTAGGGTTTAGGGAGAAGGGTGTTTGCAAGATGTAGCTTCTCTCACCGGCACAGGCAGTAGAGCCAACCAAGAGGCCGAGAAAGGAGGGAAAGGGCAAAGGCACAGAAGCTGGCAAAGGTGTCCCGACCTGTCTTGGCATGTCTTCTTGGCTGTTGCTGCTGCTGCTGTTGGTGGTCTCGGTGGTTTCGTTGGTTTCGTTGGTTCGCTCGCTCGTTCCATGGTCACGTGCGCAGTATGCTACTGCATGAGGCCGATTTTTGAATGCCTGCAACACGAGCCAAGGCAAGGGCACCGAAGCCGGCAAGGGCAAGGGCAAAGGCTGCGTCAAGCATGTCCACGGGATCATGCCGAAGAATGTAGGGCCTTGGTCCCTTGCGTTTAGCGTTTGTGATATGACTTTCAGCATTCCGGTCATTGTTTACGTATATACATACGGTAGACTTACTTGGTTGAAGCATCTCGCCCCAACGCTTCCGCCAAAACCCCTAGCACTTAGCACATCACGCCCAGAGGCGAAGGCAAAGGTCGAGGAAAAGGCCTTGGCGCGGTCTTCGCTGCCGTGAAAGGCAAGGCGAAAGGCAAGGGAAAAGGCTTGGAGGACGGACCTAGCAACTTGCTGGAGCGTTAGACCACGTTTTGCCCCTGAGCCCAAGTGCCTACACCCCTGAATGAATGGAGGACTCCCCCTTAAAACTTGTAACAAGGTCTGCTATGTAGCTTCAGGTCTCTAATTCAACAACTAACCCTAAACCTTCAACCCTAAACCCTACTCTGCTCTCTGGGCAAGGCTAGGGTTTAGGGTTTAGGGTTTCGGGTTTGGGGTTTGGGGTTTAGGGTTTAGGGTTTAGGGTTTAGGGAAGATGCCTGGCGTTGATTTGGCTCCTCCTATTGGTCTCTCTGGGCGGCGTGGGCCAGGAGCTTGCATGGCTTGCAAGCATGACTTTGCAGCTTGCAGAGCCTAAGTATGCCTAAACCTATTCTAAGCTTTACCAAAACCTGTAGACCACAAACCTTTCAGGGTTTTTTTTAACCCCTACGCAAGTTTACAAGCAAGTTTGGGGGCTCAGGGGTGTGTGGCATTCAGGGCCCCGTTGTCCGGCCGCTGAGGCAAAGGTAAGGGTAAGGCTGGCAAGGGGAAGGCCGAGGACGCCTTGGAGAAGGGCAAGGGAGCCTTGCCGTCAATGGAGCAAAAAACCGTGAGTAACGGTAGCTGTAGTACTCGTAGTATTGATATCATAGACTTGACGAGTTTGACGGCTTTTCAGAACAATGTTGGTTTGCCTCGGCAGCTTCAGGTTTTCCGATGCAAGCAGAAGCCAATCGTAAAGCTTTGAAGCCAAATGCTGTTGGGTTCTGGGATGAGGGTTGAGGGTCATGAGGTTCAAGAACAGGAGCTACAGATTTTTCTGTCAGTCTTCACAGGGTGCTTGGCTTTCAGGTGGTCACTATGAAGCCTTGCCCTCTGTAGAGGCTTACGATTTTACCTGCAAGCCCCAAACCGCAGTGGCCATAGCAACCTCATGAGAATGGGGATCAGCCAAGGAGGCAAGGCTGGGAAAGCCAAAGGAGATGCCAAGGGCGGCAAGGGCAAGAGCCAAGGCAGGCTTTGGGCTTGTACCTTGAGTGTTTGCAGGGCTTAGAGGGCTTAGGGTCAGAGCAGAAAATCCCAAGACAGCACCGTTGTTCAAACCCCAGACGCAGAGAGGCCAGCGTGGAGGGTTCGTCCAGGAGGCCGGGCTTGGGCGACTTTGCGGTGCGGACTGGGAAGCTGTTGGCTTTCTAATTTCTAATGTGGGGGGGGGGGGGGGGGGGGTGGCTTTAGGGTTTAGGGTTTAGGGTTTAGGGTTTAGGGTCCACGGCTTGGGGTTCCAGCATAGTTTGAGTGTTGTGGGTGTCGGGCCTGAGCTCCGGCAAAGAAACCCCGACTTCGCTACTAGAATGCCCAGTGGCGACCTTATTCGCTTTGGGGGGGGAGGAGGGGGGGGGGGTTAGGTTCCCTTCTAAACCCCGCCAGTTTACAGGTGGATGTCAAGCTTAGCCCAGAAGGAAGACCCCTGTTTGCCGTGCTGGTTAACGTCATCTTGCCCCCCTAAACCCTAAACCCTAAACCCTAAACCCTATATCAGGCTTTTCATTGCTCGTTTGTGTGTGTCGGGGTTGGGGGGGCAGAGCGAGCTGACCTGCAGTGACATGGTAGTTCCGAGGAGCCTACCGATGCCTTGCTGGCCGTGTGCGGGTGTGAGAGTCGAAACCCTACTTTGCTCCCCGAGTCAGGGGGTATATATTTTGGCCACCGCATTAGGGAGCCTACCTGGGCATTTCTCTTCAAGATGTTGGGGTCCTCATCCTAAGGCGGCCCCGTACTATTTCGGGTACCCAACAAAGGGACCCTAGTTGTGAGAACTCACCAATAAGTAGCCAAACCAAGAGCTCATAAAAGTAGGCAGTGGCCTGTTCCCTCTGTTTTGATAGAATAGGTTCTGATAAGCACCCGCAAGCACGCCTTGCATATGTTCCCTTTTTTTCTGATCAGAAGCGCTCCAAGGGACAACTTACATTCCTGGCTGATTCTTAGGTTTTGGGGACCTGAGTAGTCCTTATTCCCTCTGCCGAAGACGTCGCAGACTGCTGTTCAGGTGCCCGGCGACGAGCGGCGGATTGACCCTGCAGATGGCAGGCCCAGATCCGTTCAGGAGCCTTGGCTAGGTGTAGGGGTTTGAGTTTTTGGGGGTCTTAGAGAGAGAGAGAGAGAGAGAGAGAGAGAGCGCGAGAGAGAGAGAGAGAGGGCTGAGGGCTTAGGGTTTAGGATCTCGGGTTCAGCGAAAAGCGTTCCGTGTTTCGGGCTCTGGTTTAGGATTGAGGGCATTGGATGCAGGATAGCGATCTTGAGGTTCCTACTGCATTCCCTTTGCCGCGGTTGTGCGGCTTTTCATAGTTTGACGGGCATGAATTTCACCGACCTGCAGCATTTGGAGTTGTTGAGTCTTTTTACCCTAACCCCTAAACCCTAAACCCTTGTGGAGCACTTAGCCACTTGGCGTTGTGATCCCGAGTCGACCTAGATTCCATGGAGTCATTCTCGGACCCCTTAGGATGTACCCCTCAGAAGTTCCCTTAATATACCCTAATATGGCCCTTATATTCCTTCAGAGGAATCTTTAAAAAGGCTCCCCAAACCCCCCCCAACCCAAGTGTACAACCTTAGGGGTTCGAAATTCAGTCCCATCTTTGAGGCCCTTTTCAAGATCCCTGAGGCCCATATTAGGAGCACCTTAAGGGAACCTCTTAGGGGTACATCCCTAAGGATCCGAGTATGAATGTCTTGAGCCTGGTTTCTAGGGTTTAGGGTTTAGGGTTTAGGGTTTAGGAAGATTCATCCTGAACTGGCCAGGACATGATGCACTTCTATGCAGGGCGAAGCACCAAATTGGCGCCTTGGAGTTTCCTTTGAAGTGTTCGACTTCTGCAGACATTCATGCCCGAGAGCGCAATTGTCCCTGAAGGTGTTTGTTGAATATAGCGCCTTCCCCACAAAAGACTGAGATCCCCGTAATTGTTGCTAAAAATTGGCCGGACACGTTTGCGGCAGAGGGCTTGAAGGCCACAGCCATAAACCCTAAACCCGGGCAGAATCCTTGCCTGCTTTCAGCGAGCGCGAGAGTCGAAACCCTAAATCCCAGCCTCCCCCCCTCCCTAGTGGGCTCCGGGGGTCAACCCTAGACAGTCCGTGCTGAGTTGGGGAACTGCTTTCCCGCAGAGATGCTTTTGCTCTAGAAAATTGGAGGAGTTTGAGCCTTATAGGGTTTCTGGGGAAGCGAGTGGGCAGTCATTGTTTTGTATGGCATCGGCACTTGACTTGACAATTTTGCTGATTACAACTACGTGGGTGACTGTGGCTAAGTAGGCTCGCATCAACGATTTTTTTGCCTGGAGGACCATCAACTGTGTAGATCTTGTACGAGCGTAGTGCGCATTGCCATCAGAATCGGTGCTGGAATCAATGTCGCATTCACACGCGCCTGCTAAACCCTAAACCCTGCAACAGCATGCTGAAAGCTTGGCTGTGTAACCATGACCTCGCCCTCGTCCCATCTGCAATTCTTCCCCGCGCTGAGGAAATCGTGAGGTACTTCCAGAGCTGCCCGGTGGAAATGCGATCGAAAGGCCTCGGGCCAGTGTGGAGAGTTGGGGGCTGGACTGGGACAAATGATGGGCCGAAGGTTGCAAGGAGGTTCAGGCTACTTAGAACCCTAGTTATCACTGTACTTCTAAGCCCCCTAAGTCCCCTAAGTAGGTGATAAGTAGACTTATAACTGTGGAAAGAAGTACCCATGAACACCAGGCCTATGCAGGAGCTGCACAAAGGAGCTGTATGGGAAATGGTTGTTCAGAAGTTCATATAGGGGCCTGAATATTTAGACACATGGTTTTGGGGGTTGTAACAGAGTTCTAAAGAGACCCTAAGGGAATACTAGTAGTAATTATTCCGAACCCGAGGTTTTGTTAACGTGCCTAGAGGCCTAGAGACCCAGGGAGAGCAATCAGGGGTCGGGCCGAAGGTTGCTTGGAGGTTCAGGGTACTTGTAACCCTAGCTATAACTGTACTTCTAAGCCCCCCCTAAGTCCCTTAAGCAGGTTATAAGTAGACTTAGAACTGTGGTTAGAAGTACCCCTGAACCTCCTAGTAGCCCTAGACCCTAAACCCTAAACCCTAAACCCTGTGGTTACAAAGTACCCATGAACCTCCAAGTGTGAGCTAGCGGCTAGCGTTCCAAGGGAACTCACCTCGAGAAGGTGGTCTCACACCTCAACCCTAAGACTACTAAAAGAACCCCCCCCCCCCCCCACAAAAAAACAAAACTTACTACAAGGACAATATTGGGATTACTATTATTCTTTATTTTTTTGGGGTTCTTAAGAAAACAGTAGGATAGGGAGCACGCATGGAGCTGGGACAAGTTGTCAATGTTGCACGGGCTGAAGCTCCGAATGACCTCCCCTTACCACGCCAGACTGTGGTAGACTTTGATCATTTGCCCGGGTGGTGCTTTCAGGTGCGTCGCTCAAGCTCGCAGCCGCGTCTGCTTGACCTGCTGCGCGAACTGCAGTCTTACCTGGGCTCAAGCAGGACCTTACTGAGTGCCCTAGTAGTAGAGTAGGTAACCTCTAACCGGGGTAGTATAATCCCCTTATACTCCCAAAGGGTAACCTTGAATTCCCCCAGGTTACTGGACAACTAAGGGCAGGACCTTACTGAGCATTGTTTAGCTTGCGGACGAAATGAACCCTGAATTTGGGAGCATATTTGCCCTCGACCACGAGAATCACTTTTGAAGCCCATCGACTCATGGACCAGAAAGGCTTTCTTTTAGGGTTTAGGGGGACTCTAGGGTTTTTTGAACAGGGTTTAGGATTTTACGAGTGCCGTGAATCAAAAAACACCTGAACGGTACATGGGGCGGCTCCAAGTTGGAGGCCCGTTTTTATGGTCGCTTTCTTGTACAGCCTAAGTCAAAGGAACCTCCCCTCCAGCATACAGATGTAGAGGGTTTAGGGTTTAAGGTTTACGGCTTCGCGATGGAGATGTGGGCAGCCCCCGTGCGTGCTGCCGCCCGAATCAGCGGCTGGCTTTGCGGCCCTTCTCCCGACCTGGCGGTGAGAAGGCAGAACCATGGGTTGTTCCCCCTTATACTATCAGTCCTTAATAGGGGTTATAGCACGCCCTACTATAATCCCCATTAGGTTTAGGGCTTAGGCAGCTGCAGGTACGTTGCGGCGCAATAACCGCTGAGAGCCATACGTGTGGAATCGAGACCGGGGACGTAAGGAAACAGAGCCCCGCCCAAAGAGCCCAACACATCCTACATGCAGAATATTTATTTTACCCTACACCCGTACTTCCGTAATTCAGGGGGTATTGGGCTCCCGAAACCCTACACCCGAAACCCTAAACCACCCTGAACCCTGAACCCTGAACCCTGAACCCTGAACCCTGAACCCTGAACCCTAAGCCCTAAACCCTAAACCCTAAACCCTAAACCCTAAACCCTAAACCCTAAACTGCACTGAGCGTCGAAACTCTCCTAAGGCCCAACCTTGCGGAGCCCCATAGGGGAAGAGGGCCCCTCTCCACTCCGCTGGTGGCTTCGGTCGGCTGCTATGCAGCCGTGAAGGCCACCGCAGGGCAGCTCCTTGGAGGCTTTGGAGGGTTTGGGAGGGTTTAGGGTTTGGGGTTTGGGGTTTGGGGTTTGGGGTTTGGGGTTTAGGGTTTAGGGGTTTAGGGTTTAGGATTTTGGGTTTAGGGGTTTAGGGGTTTAGGGGTTTAGGGGTTAGGGGTCAGGGGTGGGGGCGGGTTGGCCTCCTCAACCTGGCCCGTCCCCAGAGGTCAAACTAGAGGGATGAAACACAAGAGAGAATAGCTTAGTAGCTGAGTGAGTACTTGGAGGTTCAAGGTACTTACTAACCAATTATAACTGTACTTATAGCTGTACTTATAACCATATCAGGGCACTTAAGGGGCTTATAAGTACAGTTGTAAGTACAGTTATAATTGGTTAGTAAGTACCATGAACCTTCAAGTGCACTTTACACTTTTTGGGATAGTATAATCACCTACAGAACTGAAAGTGTACGGGCTTAGGAATTCAGCAACTAAGGTAGTATTTTGAAAGGTGGTCTAGGTTCATGGGTAGTCAGAAGTAGGGTTGTAAGTACCCTAAATCGGGTTACAAGTAGGGCTGCCATACTGATAGTACCCCAAGTAGGGTTACAAGGAGAGCTACCATACTTGGAGTCGGGAACATCCCAAGTAGTCCTACTTAAGACTGGCGAGGGGGAAGTGGGGGTTGTTACCTTGCATGCGAGGTCTCAGACATGGCCGAGGGTTTAGGGTTTAGGGTTTAGGGTTTAGGGTTTAGGGTTTAGGGTTTAGGGCCGTTCAGGGTTTAGGGTTTAGTGTCCAGGCCCTTTGCACCCTTTGTTTCCAAGACTAAGAGCTTTCGGGGTCTACAACCCTGAGAGCAGAAACGAATGCGTAATACAAAGGTCGGAAGAACTACTGCTAGTATTCCCTTCTGGTTCCTTTATAAATACTGGTGGTATTCCCTTATGGTCCCTTTATAAATACTACTAGTCTTCCCGTGTGGTTCCTTTATAGACATACTACAATCACCCCCCCCCAAAACCCTGTTCGAATTATGAAGGCCCCTACATGACCCAGGAAACGGGCTGCTGCGAAGAAGCGGAAGAAGGGCCCCACACTGAAGCTGCTGAGAGAGAAGCTGAAAGAACTCGGCCCCTCGACCCCTTGGGGGGGGGGGGGGGTTTGGGGGTTTTAGGGGTTTTAGAGTTTTAGGGGTTTTTAGGGTTTCAGGGTTTCAGGGTTTGAGGGTTTTAGGGTTTAATTCTCAGGGGCCTATAGCAAGCGGCCTGTTGCATGGAAGGCAGAAAGCCCTCATTTCCGAAGCCCATGGAGCCCTGATACACTATGTAAAAACCATGGGCGTATGTTTCCCCCTCTGTCTGAGGACTTGTATTCTCCAATTCAGGGTTTAAGGGTTAATGGGGGGAGGGGGTCCGAGACTAGATGTTTATGTAGGGTCCTCCAATGAGGGATATGAATATATGCGTATGTGCATACCTTATTTAGGGAAAATGCTCATATGAAACGTTTATCAAAATTCTTGGCCCCTTGGAGTCTCAGAAAGACATGGTTAGACGATTGGCATCCTTTGAAGGAGATGAACACTAGCAGCTTTCTGTTCCGCGTTAATCTCACGGCGACAGTAGGATTTTTCGCAGCATAGGGCACATGGTCTTGTTTTTGCGTATTTTGGTCCTCACAAGAAGGGCCGAAAATTATAAATCCTAAACGTGTTGGGGCCCCAATGTCGGCACCATATCAAAAGAATCACCCAAAAGCCCAAAGTCCCCCTTAGTCCTCGCAGCACATGCAAGGATTGTCAACCCTGAGCCCTAGACCTTTAAATCCCAAGCCTAGACCCTACTGGCGGGTTCATGGGTAGCTATAAGTAGGGGCATATAAGAACCCCAACTAAGCCTTTTATATTGTAGTTACAATAATTATAATCCTTCCCCCTAATATTAAACGGGGAGGCTCCCCCCCCCCTTTAAAAATTCGAAACCTGTTTTTATAATTAGGGGGTGTTTTTATCGAAAACCCTCAACCTTAAGCCCTAATCCCTTAACCCTAGACCCCCAACCCTAAACCCCCTGAGGGTTTTGTTGGTGTTGAAGGATTTCTTGGAGGCCTGAACCCCCCCTAGTTCGGAATAGGGTTTTAAAGGCGGGGTTGGTTTCGGCAGGATTGTCCGGAAAGTGTTTTTTTATTATTCGGGTTGCATTTAATAAAAGGGGGAAGGGATTACCCCTGCTTAAATCTACCCATGAAGTTCCAAGTATCAGCAGGCTTGCCCAGCTCCGGGCGAAAAGCCGAGCTCCTGGAACGGCTGCGCCTGGCGGTACTGGAGGAACCTTTCGGGTCCCCCATTCTACGTAGGTCTTTTTTGCAATGTGTGACCCTAAACCCTCAACCCGAAACTCTAAACCCTAAGTGAGTTTAAGAGCACTTTATGTAAGAACATGTTTCAGATGGTTTCGGGCCAACCTAGTTGTTGCTGTCTCAAGAAGTCCTAGTCCAAAAAAATCCCTAACCCTAAGCCTTATAAGCCCTAAGTCCTAATGGAGGGTTCGCCGGGCATTCGAAGGCCACCGATGAGGAAGAAGTTGACATTCTGCCAGCGCTGAAGCAGAATGGCTCTCGAGGTCTGGGTGATGCTTGGACCCGAGGGTTAGGGGGTAGGGCTTAGGGTTTCGGGTTCAGGGCTTAGGGCTTAGGGCCTAGGGCTTAGGGCTTAGGGTTTAGGGTTTAGGGTTTGTGGGCTTGGGTTCAGGGTTTGGGGTTTAGTTCTTCAAGCGCGGAACTGGTTCCGTAGCTGGTACACAGACACATGTGTCTTGCCGACTAGCTCGCTCACACCCAACCCAGAAGACCATAAGCGGCCACACGCCAGATGCAGCAAGACATAGCAAGACCCCAAACCCTAAACCCCGAACCCCAAACCCCAAACCCTAAACCCTAAACCCTAAACCCTACTGAGGACGTTGAAGACGCGGAAGCTCCAACTCCCTCTTCCATGGGCTGGACCAGGGCCACGACCTCCCAGGATCCCGATGTCATCCGACCTGGGGATGCAACCTCCCTGCGTTTAGGGTTTAGGGTTTAGGGTTTAGGGTTTAGGGTTTAGGGTTTAGGGTTTAGGGTTAGGGTTTAGGGTTGAGGGTTGAGGGTTGAGGGTTTAGGGTTTAGGGTTTAGGGTTTAGGGTTAGGGTTTAGGGTTTAGGGTTTAGGGTTTAGGGTTTAGGGTTTAGGGTTTAGGGCGGTGCGGGCCTCAGTGGGTTGTGGGTTTGAGGGGACTCCGGACAGGCTTCAGAGGTCCGTGTTAAAACAAGGGTTTAGGGTTTAGGGTTTAGGGTTTAGGGTTTAGGGTTTGGGGCCACAGGGTTGAGGGTGTAGGGGCCCCTAAGCCACTTAACTAAGGGATCTCCCTTACCAAGCATCTACGGATTCCTTACCATGGTTTTCGGTGTATTCCTTAATTGATGGGCATGGGGCTCTTTGTAGGCTTTGCTTGGTCATGGTCGCTGGAAAGGAATGTGAGAGAGCGGAAGCGAGAATTAGGGTTAGGGTTTGTAGGGTTTTGGAGAGGGAGGGTTCATTAAAAGACAGCCCAGATTTGCGAACGTTTGTTGGGGTCAGGGCGTCACAAGCAGGTAGCTTCGAAACTGCATCTGAGGAAGTCTTTCTGCGCGCGCACACTGGCTACTTTCTGGATGTCGAAGCGGATCGGGTCCAAGCCCGATGGGAAGACATGGGGACGCCTGGAGGATTGGGCAGGTTTATCGATGTGCTTCTCTGCTTCCCTAACCCTAAACCCCCAAACCCTGAAATTGAGCCTGCGCAGTGCAGGTCACCCGGAAACCTTAAAGACATAAATCCAGATAAAACCCAGATGATACTTGGCTTCACCGGTAGTTACTCAGTAGGGTTACAAGTACCGTCCATAGGCTTGAAAGTTACTTCTCACCCTATACCCTAAACCCTAAACTAAACCCTAAACCCTAAACCCTAAACCCTAAACCCTAAACCCCAAACCCTAAACCCTAAACCCTAACCGCCCTACTTGTAGCTGCCCAAACGAACCTCCAAGTACGGATCTCAGGGTGTGGCAGAGCCTGGTCATCGAGAAGAGCCCGCTTGTTGTCGAGACCACAGACCCAATGCAGCTGCATGGTTTTGCTACTACTTGGGGGGGGAAGTGGGGGGGAAGTGGGGGGGCTTAAGAACCCTAAACCCCTAACTAAGCCCGATCCCAAACCCTGAACCCTAAACCCCTAAACCCCTACGCCCTACGCCAAATGCTAAGCTTGCCGGCTTGGGTCTACCTTTCCTTGAGCTTTCGGATGGCCGTTTCACGTGGAGAGCAACACCTGAGAAGTAGACTGGAGCCCTGCAAACTGCAAAGCCCCGACGCCTTGAAGCTAAGGCATCCCTGGGCCTGATAAGCAGGGCCGGGGTTGGTGGGCCAGAGGCAAGTACACCTCGGAACAAGATTTAGGGCTTTGGCGCTGTCCGTTTCCCATGGAGGGCCCAAATGCCCCCCCTTTTGGCTTAGGAAGTATGCCAAGATGGCTTGAACCGAATAGAGGGGGGGGTCCTTATTCTGACACGTTGCTTCTTTCCGGGATTTTGTGGGCTCTTTGGGCCCCCATCATGCCCAAAACCCTAAACCCTAAACCCCTAAACCCTAAACTGTTAAACCCGAAACGCTAAACCCTAAACGCTAAACCCTACGCCCAAAACACTAAACCCTATACCAAGTTCTCACAAGGTTTCAAGCCGGTGACTTGGCCTTCTTCCGATGCCACACAGGCTGCTACCTGGACGTCCAGGACTCATGGGGGTTTGGGGTTTAGGGTTTAGGAGTTAGGGTTCGGGCGCTGTCGAGGTTTATGTGGACTTGAGGGTTGAATTAGGGTTTTCGGGCGTTGAGTTCCACGGCTCTGAACGAAGGCTCTGCTGACAGACCTTGTTCCTTTGTCCTTCAACTTCACTATCGAGCCGGCCTTGGTGCATTGTTCTCGCCCTGGTCTCGCTGGATTTTGACCTTCAGTTTTTAACCCACAGCTGCAAGTGGTTCAGGAGCTCGAGCATGCTTTCTCAGGCCAGAGGCTGGTAAACCCCATACGGATCATGGATGCTAAACAGCTGATCCCGAACTTGCCGCGCCACGAGGCTACAAGCGTTGACCCTGCGCCATAAACGGATTTAAGCCTCAACCCCGCATCCCAAGTCCCCCAAATCCCGAAGCTTGCATGTCCTACTTCAGATGCGAAAGATCAAGGGCATTGTCAGCTGGGTAGTTTTCGGCAGGCATTCCATTCGCCGCCATGGAAGGGTTGTCGAGTTTAGCACTTTTCGATGGGAGGCATTGGGCGGGGAGGTGAAGTTACGTCGAAGCATTCAGAGGGGAGGACGCTTCTGCGTGCAGACAGCAACTCGAGGTAAAAGTTTGTTCTCGGAAATCCGTGTTGCCAAAACCCGACTTGTTTAAATTTCTGCAAAAACGTTCCACGGTGGCGGAAGGAACACCTGCCTCGATTTACCCATATGCCCCCCTTCTTCCGAAGCCTGACATAAGGTACCTTGCCTGGGGAAGTCCCCCTCTCCTGAAGCTGTCTTTAGCAGGAGGAGGGCAGCCCGGTACAGGCCCGATGGCAGGACCTGGGGGCATCTTGTCCACATTTCAAGTTTCAGGTTCGGGCTGCGCGTGTGTGGGGTTTAGGGCTTCGGGTTTAGGGTTGGGGCTTAGGGCGCATGTCCTTGGATCCCAAAGCAACCTCTCAAAAGTGTTTTCATGACCCCCCCAGAGTCCCGATCACAAAGTTTGGGGTCCAGTTAAGCCCAAGGTCCGCACCCTTAGCTTTCCCCCCACAGCATGAACCCTAAGCTCCCCGCCCGCAGTATTACCTGGTAGTAGAGTAGGTAACATTTAACCTTTTTGGGGTAGTATAATCCCCTTATCCCAAAGGTTAACCTTGAATTCCCCCAGGTTACGGACAACTAAGATTAACCCCCTGGAATTATGCCCTAAGCTCCCAACCCTAATAAAAACAAAACCCTGTGACATGTGTCAGCTTAGGTTTGGCAAGGTTTGGAAGTGGCAACCAAGCACGCAGGGCCCCTCAAGGACATGCTGCTTAGATCTTTTGTGGCCATGGTTGGTTAGCGACCCCCCCCCCCCCCAACTCCCCACTCCCCCGAACTTCAGTAGCCTACTTAAAGCCCTGCACCTACAATCCTATACCCGAGGCCCGGCCCAAACCCTTCATCTCGGTGAGACGCAACACCGTTCGCGGCACCGTGTGGTATGTGGTGCTATACCTGAGTCCCTGTCATACGCTGAGGCCCTGTGCTACTGTGTCAAGAGATTCTGGAGATCCTCCTTAGTAGTCCCTGACTTGACAGGGCGCAGTGACTTGTTTCAATCATCCCGAAATTGTTACCCTAAACCCTAAATCCTGAACCCTGTGGTGTGGCTGGTCCGCTTGGCGGGTGGCAAAAAATCTCGGTGGGTGTCACGGCTGTTGGTCGAGATGCGACGCAATTGTCCCCTTTGAAACAGGCCTTAGGACCTTAGGAGTCAGGAAATAGAGAAATGGCTAGTCTTATCTCTGAAAAGCCAAAACGTTTTGAAATTATGGTTTCTAGTCAGGTTCGACGAGGAGTACGGGTAGGAAGATCGCAGGTTGGCGACACCCTCTTCCTGAAGACCCACACCGGCATGTACGTGGATGTCCAAGGCCTGATGCAGGGACAAGCGCCCAGATGGCTATGCAAAACTGCAGAAAAAACTAGTAACACCTTGTTTTTTTGAAGAGCTCTTGCTAGTCTCCAGTCGAACGATACTAGTAGGGCTTGGAGTGGGCAGGACGTTTGACATTCTGCTTGCAGTTAGGGGGTCCTGCCTATATGGGCATTTCCCAAACTGGGGGTACCCCGTTTATACCCCGAATAGAAGAAAAGCCCCTTACGAGGACCCCAAAAAGCTGCTATCTTAACCTTCTTCGCCATGCGTCTTGGGGCATTCGGCCTCAGGGTTTGGGGTTTAGGGTTTAATGGACCCCCATCCCGCGCAATATGGTTCGCACAGCTACGCAGCTACGCGGGAGCGACGAAACAGCCAGAATAATCTGAAGGAAGAGACAGATATTTTTAACCTTCTCTAGCAGTGAGCTGGTTGCTAAGGAGTTCGTGGCACCGCGTGAGAGATACTATATTCTGTCTTGATACGATATTATGTCTTTCTACTCGGCATTATGTAGGGTTCCTCATTCTCGCATTCCCTACTAAGAAGTATCCCTTGAAGCATCCCGTGGTCGAGGAGGTTCCGTGCAAGCCCGATGGGCGGATGAGGGTGATTGGCAAGCCCTCACCATCGAACGCTGACCGGCACTGGGTTTGACCACAGGGCTTCGGGATCTAGCGATTGCAGACTCATAGGCTGTTTCGGGCGTTTCTTCATCTAAGGGTAGTTCCCTTACCTTCTTTAAAGGGTTCTGATGTATGGGCCCTTGGGTGGTGTAGGGTATAGAAGGGGTATGTAAGGGGGTCGCTGTTTCAAGGACCATAGTACCCATCCGAAGACTTAAGGGCCCGTTGCAGCAACTTAGGCTTCGGATCGAGCTCACTGAAAGGTGCCCTCGGGTTTAGGGTTTAGGGTATAGGGTATAGGGTTTAGGGTTTAGGGTTCAGGGTTTGGGGTTTAGGGTTTAAGGGGTTCTTTGGAGGGTTGACTGCCCATACTGCAGGGAACTTCTGCCCAAGGCTTCCACAAAGCGTTCCGCAACATGAGATCCACTGCAATTCAACTAGTGGGCTTGCCTTTCAGCAAACGGACGCTGAAGAAGTCTTCGATGCTTTGGTGCATGGCAAGTTCAGACGACTTCCTGGATCTAGCAGGAAGTAGTTTGTCAGAGTAGTCAGGACCGGTTTGGACCCAAGCTCCCCACTGCGTAACCTAAACTCCCAGTGCCGGCCCGGCGAGAGTTAGAGAGGTTGCTTAGTGCGAGCGGCGACTATGTGCATCCTTCATGGTCGGCATGTGCTGGCGAAGATCACGATACCTCAAGCTACTTGCAATGCAGATGCACATCAGCCGCAGTAGGAGGGCGCGAAACACACTGAGTGTATAGTTGCAGCTGCGCAGCGTAAAACAAGTGTGCGGTGATTGTGCTGCGGTCTGGGTTCGGTTATGATTCGTTGAGCTTACAGGAGTGAACAGAAACAGGATCAGTCCCAGCACTTGCACCCCCCTGTACACAACCGTGCTCGTATGTGATGCCACAGCTTGTGGGTGAAGCACGTCTTCAAATTAGGTTCCGGGTTCATGCGCTGGTTTAGTGCTTAACGGAAACCTCAGCCGAGGTCTTTGTTTCATCTGTCATAAAGTCGGTTCACTGCCCCCAGATGTCCCAAGCGCTGAAACCCGAGGATCTCAGAATGTGTAAGGCTCTGTTGAAAGTTCCGAGATGCTGAAGCTTGCTGGTGCAACTCTGGTTGGGGCTGTGAAATCTTGCGTGAGACCTGGGCAGGCAAAACCAAGGGCGTCGCCAAGGGCGCTGCCAAGGGTGCTGCATTGGGCGCTGCAAAGGGGGCCGCCAAGGGTGCCGCCCTAGCAGAAGCCTTGGGCATCCCGTCCGCCAAGGGCGCCGCCAAGGGCGCCGCCAAGGGCGCAGCCAAGGGCGCAGCCAAGGGGGCTGCCAAGGGCGCCGCCAAGGGGGCCGCCAAGGGCGCTGCCAAGGGTGCCAAGGGGACTGCCAAGTCCAAGGGCAAGGGCGCCAAGGACAAAGATGAGGAGGCCAGTCCGGGAGGGGGTTAGGGTCTGGAGGCTTGAGCCACAGACTACGGCGAGCAAGATATTTGTAGGGCGGCAATGTTGCAGGGCTCATTGACCACCATGAAAGGTTTGAAAATATGTTTTCAACTTCAAACCCCAGTCGACGCTGCAGTATCCCGAGCCAGCAGCCAACCCCTACAAATATTGAACTGCCGCATGTGGACGTGGATCATACCCACAGGCCTGATATTCCAGACCGAAGCCGGACTGGGCAAGCTCCTGCAAATCTAAAGTCGAAAGCAATCAGGGGGTGCAGCGGTGCAGCTTCCTGTGTGGATCTTCTGGGGTCGATGCTTTATGAACATGTTGTTGTAGCGGTCGTCAGTTCCGATCCCTCACTGGCTGAACTGCTGCACAGGAGATGGAGCCACCTCCAGGAATTCCCAGGCTGCCCAGCGGCAGCTTGTGTGGTTGTGGGGTCACGGTCTGGGCCAAACTTGTTTGACGAGCGGTTCAGGGTTGAGGGTTAGGGTGAGGGCACGAAGAAGTCTGACTTAGCTTTTCTAAATCGTATCCTAGGCGGAGTCAGCCTGGCCGATGTGGGTGTAACGGCCCCTTGCAGCCCAACCTTTGGGGCCAAACTGATCCCTGAAGGGTTTCATGTGCAGTGTGGGCTTCAACAGGTTTTTCATAGATGGGGTTAGAATCGTTTCGGGCATAGAGTTCCAACTCAGTTTCAGGGTTGATGTAGTCCCGCAAGGTGTTTAGGGTTTAGGGTTTAGGGGGTGCCCAAGGTACAGTATGCGCCGAGGTCGGCCTTCCTCCATTGAAGCTACTCAACAGAGCCCAAACCTACTCCTGCGCGGGTTCTTCTTATAAATCCTTTCACAGGCGCATTTGGCAACCTACAATCAAGGCAGGTTTCGGGCTCTCACGGTAAACCCTGAAACCCTCAAAGCCCCAAACGCGGAACACTGGAGGAAGGGAATGCAGTGGACAGCCTCGCCCGGCGCGCAGGGTGCCACGGCCGGAAGTGAAGTTGGGATTTTCAGGGTTGACTGGGAGGCTCATGTGTAGGTAGAAATCTGGTCACTATACTTCTAAGCCCTACTTTGGGCGCTGATAACCAGAGCTATAACGACTCACGAACCTCTAAGTAGGGCTTTGTGTGGCATCACATGAAGGCTGCAGGAGCAAGGCAGCTCAGCGAGAACAACCGATCTCCTCTTGTGAACCCTTGCGACCCTAAACCCTAAACCCTAAACCCTAAACTCCCACGTCTCTGTGCCGGGCTATTCCATTTCGACGATGCAAAAGGGTTTCAGAGACTGCCCTCTTGCAACGCAAGACGAGACAAAGAGTCTCTGAATCCCTGAGCCTCTGAACCCTAAACCCTAAACCCTAAACCCTAAACCCTAAACCCTAAACCCTAAACCCTGCAGCGCAACGGATCAGCCCTCTTGAGCCGGCCCCCGGGCCTGACAACATCGAACACAGTGAGGGTGAACCCTTGTCATAGATTGGCAGTTTCCCTTAAAATCAGAGTAGGTATCCTTTAACCTTTTTGGGGTAGTATAATCCCCTTATAATCCTAGTAGTAGATAGTAGGTATCCTTTAACCTTTTTGGGGTAGTATAATCCCCTTAGAATCCCAAAGGTTAACCTTGAATTCCCCCAGGTTACTGGACAACTAAGTTTCCCTTAAAATCGGAGTAGGGGATTCTGCCATGAAGTCCTGTGCACCCGAGGCGCAAGCTTCCTGCTTCTTAGCTGCATGGACCAGGGACCTTCGAGGGGGTGAAGGCTTGCAACTTTGATCGAAGAGCTTGAACCCTAAACCCTAAACCCTAAACCCTAAACCCTTGAGTCCTGACTGTAGGGTTCATTTGAACATGATTGAGCCTCTGTGCTTAAGACTCGGGGTTGTTGAGAGTGTTGGGCCCAGCCCAATTCTGCACTGGCACCGAGGTGAAAGGATCCGCGCTGGGAGCTTAGATGCCATGGCTTTCCAGTTCTTCAGGCGAAAATAAGAACATTTCCTCCTCGTAGAAGCCTCTAAGGGGTTTTTTTGACCATACCCCACTTCCCTTTTGGAAACGAATGAGATGGGGGTGTTGTGTAGGGTGCAGGGTTGTCTTGATGATCTTCCGGCGGTTTCCGTTCAACAGGATAGAGTTGCGGTTGCAACGGTTCTTCACGACATCCAGCTGCTCCCATTTTCAAAGTCCTAAGTGCTCAGACGGATTTCAATTGCAGCAGTGGGCCCCTACTTTTGACTGCAGCCCACTTGCGTCCAGATCCTTGTGCCTACTGAAGACTTAACTCTGCGAAGGCCTTTAGTATCATGTTCCTACTCTATTCTTGGGGTTCCCATATGGTTTCGCGCCGCCCTCAGAAGTAGGACATCTACTGTGTCTTGGGGTTCCGCTTGGGGTTGAAGTTAGGATCCTTTTATTGGGTATGGTTTGGGTCTCGAGTTCTTGTGACATCCGGGGGGTCCAGGGTGGAGAAGCGCCACTGGGGAGCGGTTTTTTGAAATCTACATTCCCAGAGAGCCCAGACCCCTTACTTAAAGGACTGTACCTAAACTAGGTCACACGCGCGCGAGGCGCCTTGCTACTTTCAAGGGTGTGAATATGCTTATGTCCTAGCTTTTTGTACGATTTTAGGAAAATTTCAGATTGTTTACAAGAGCCAAAACTATTCATTTTTGTTGATACATCAGTTGGTTTTCAACAGAAGGTGTCTTTTTCGAGCTGAGGTTTCTTCTCTCTTAGACACTGCGAACCCGAAAGACTCGCAACCTGTACACAAACAGTAAGTGTCTTTTTCGATAAATCGCTATAAATACCAGTGCTTTGGGCACGGTCGCGAAAGGCATGGACTGTTCTGACCGATCTTCTTGTTCCACATCCTTGTGCAGTATGTTGTGCAAAGAGGCGAAAACGCTGTAAATACCAGTGTTTTGGGCATAGAACGCTGTAACTTCCAGCGTTTTGGGCACGGTCACGAAAGGCATGGACGCTTGTGACAGATCTTCTTGTTCCACGTCCTTGTGCAGTATGTTGTACAAAAGAGGCGAAATCGCAGTAAATACTAGTGTTTTGCGCATGGACGCAATATGAATGACGTTCCTTTCCCTCCCCCGCCACCCTCACGAAATATCGCGGCAACAGATGCACGTGCAACCAACTACATAGGGATCCCTAGGATGATTTAAGGTATATTCCTTCAGGGTTATTAGGCGCTTTGGTTGCAGGACAAACCCTAAACCCTAAACCCTAAACCCTTTGTTGACAGTCTGCCAGGAAGGGCAAGGGCGGCCTCAAGGGAAAGGCCAAGCCCACGACCGTCGCGCTGTGAGCTAGCATGCCGAGTCTGCTGCATTATGGCATTCATACAGGGTTTAAGGGTTTAAGGGTTTAGGGTTTAGGGTTTAGGGTTTAGGGTTTGGGGTTTGGGGTTTGGGGTAGGGGTAGATGCCAGCGGGCTATTGCAGGTGGGGGACTGACATTTGCCAAGCACCACACAGAAGAAGCAAGTGGCATGGGACAACCCAAGCTTCATCTACAGACACACACACACACACACACACTCATGGGTTCCCGTA